GGTGATATAGCACATCTTATATTTTCCTGGTTAGAGCTGGAACCCATACTATTAAGTGAAGTTTACCAAGAATGGAAAAACAAGCACCACATATACTCACCAGCAAATTGATATTAACTGAGCAGCACCTAAGTGGACACATAGGTACTACAGCAATAGGATATTGGGCAGGTGAGAGGGGGGTGGGTATATACATATATAATGAGTGAGATGTGCACCATCTGGGGGATGGTCATGCTGGAGACTCAGACTTGTGGGGGGAGGGGGAGAATGGGCATTTATTGAAACCTTAAAATCTGTACCCCCATAATATGCCGAAAAAAAAAAAAACCAAAAGGGTCAAGAAATAGACTAAAGTATAGAAATTTACATGAAAATGTGGCATTTCAAATTGGTGGGAAAATGTAAGTTATTCACTAAGTTATGTACAACTCAATGACAATTGAACTTGAAACTGAACAACAGAGTACCACTGAAGGAACTGAAGAAAAGGGAGGAGCATTTCTTTATTTAAGAGAAATAGCTCCAGCTATAGTATAGAACAGGGGTTGGCAAATTTTTCTGTACAAGGCAAGACAGCAAATATTTTTGGCTTCGTGACCCATCTGGTCTCTGTCTCAACAACTTAAATCTGCTAATGCAGAACAAAAACAGCTATAGGCCATATATAAATGAATGGGCATAACTGTGTTTCAGTAACATTTTTGTTATAAAAACGGGCAGCAGGCCATATTTGGCTTGTGCTGCAGTTTGCCAACTTCTGGTATAGAAGATAATCTTGTCTGGAGAGAGGCTGGTAACAGAAAACAAGTTAATAATAGGTGACTGCATTGGTGGGTGTGGCCTGTGATATGCAGAGTTGGTAGAGAGAGGAAGGCTTAGAGAAGACATTTCTGGGAGATGGGTAGCAACAGGACCTTCTGATCTATTGGTTTTGGAGGCTGAGGGAAAGGAAAGTATTAAAAATGGCCAAAAGGATGTTAATATGAAAGATGAGAAGACCTCTGGCCTTGGCATCCATTCAGAATCTTTTTTAATAGTGGTTGTATAGATAGGGGACATTCTCTGTGAGGACAAATCTGTGCCTGTTTTGTTCATGCTGTTCATGATTGGTTGAATGAATGAACCAGTTATCCATTCGGAGAAAAAAATGAGACTGTATCTGTGGCCAATCCCTTGGACAAATTCCAGATGGAGCTGAGACTTAAATGGAAAATGATAAGATTACCAGAAAATATGGGTGAAAACAGTCTATGACATATTGGGAATTAGAAAGTCCTGTCTAAGCAATTCAAAAACCACATAAAGAAGAAATTAATCAATTTGACCACAAAAACATTTGAAACATTTATATAGTCATACACAAGGCAAAAATGATGAGGCTAGGAAAAATACTTCTAATACAACAAAAGTTAACATTACAGAGTATCCCTAATTCAAATATCCAAAATCCAAAGTGCTCCAAAATCCAAAATGTTTTGAGCAAGGACATGCTGCTCAAAGGAAATGCTCATTGGGGCATTTTTGATTTTTGATTTTTTGGATTTGGAATGTTCAACCCATATAATGCAAATATCCCAAAATCTGAAAAAATCTAAAATTCAAAACACTCTAGTCCCAAGCATTTCTAATAAGGAATACTAAGCCTGTATTAATATATGAAGAACTCTTAGAAAGCAATATGAAAAAGAACCAAATTATCCCTTCCCCATTTTTCTTTAAGGAAGTAATAGAATAATTCATGGAAGAAATACATATGTCAATAAGCAATAGAAAGATGTTTGGTGTTAATAACAAAGCTGCAGTAAGACTTTTCATGTGTCTGACTGGCTAAGATTTAAATGACTGATAAAGTCTGTCACTGCCAAGAGTGTGGGCAAATGAGACCCTATGCATTTGTATCAATCAATCAATTAATGATTGATTACAACAGTGAAAAAATGATAAGCAACTCAAGTGTTCATAAATAGATTAGTTATTTGAGTACAGTTGAGCCTTGAACAACTTGGGTTTGAATTGTATGGGTTCACATATATGCAGATTTTCTTCTGCCTGTGAGACAAACAAGACCAATCCCTCTTCTTCCTCCTCCTCAGCCTACTCCACATGGAGATGATGAGGATGAAGACCTTTATGATGATCCACTTTAACTTAATGAATAGTAAATATTATTCTCTCTTCCTTAAGATTTTCTTAATAATATTTTCTTTTCTCTAGCTTACTTTATTATAAGAATACAGCATGGATAAGAGTACATATAACACAAAAATACATGTTAAAAGGATGGTTTATGTTATAGGTAAGTGTCTAGTCAACAACAGACTATTAGTAGTTAAGTTTTGAGAGAGTCAAAAGTTATACACAAATGTTCAACTGTGCAGGGAATTGGTGCCCCTAACCCCTGCTATTGTTCAAGGGTCAACTGTACATTGAATAAACTATTGCAAAACCATTAACATGATGCAGATCTTTATTTGAAAAGGAGCAATGTTGATGGGGCACTGCTTAAAAAGTGTTTTATTTATTTTTATTAATTTTTTTGTTTTTGTTTTAGATACAGGGTCTCGCTCTGTCACACAGGCTTGAATGCAGTGTCACAATCATAGCCCACTGCAGCCTCCAACTTGTAGCCTCAAGCAATCCTCCTGGTTCAACCTCCCAAGTAGCTGGGACTACAGGTACCATGCCTGGCTAATTTTTTTTTTTTTTTAGTAGAGACAGAGTCTTGTGATGTTGCCCAGGCTGGTCTCATACTCCTGACCCCAAGTGCTCCTCCTGCCTTGCCTCCCAAAGTGCTGGGATTACAGGTGTGAGCCATTGTGCCTGGCCTAACAAGTATTTAGAACACTGATTTTATTTATGTAGAGGTTTCTGTTCACAGATGCATAGAGAAGTGACTAGAAGGATATTTTCTTTGGATTTTGAGAATTTGGGTGACTTTTTCCTTGGTACTTTTTAGTTGTTTTCATTTTTATTTCAACAGTAAGATTTATTTGTGCAAAAGTAGAATAAGCTATCTTCGAAAAGGTGCTTGGCTTACCGCACATCCCATTGCTGCCCGGAGGAATGTCAAGACTGGAGAGGAGATGGGAGCAGCTCCAGTGACCATGATGCGAACCTTCCCACCCAGGTTGTCCTGTTCAATTGAAATAAGACTTGCTGAGACTTATTTTCTTGGCTTCAATTTCCCCCACTGTAAAATGGGTATATAGCTCAGTGATGTTGTGAAAATTAAACTTACGTTACTTCTTATATTAATTTACAAAGCACTTAGAATAGAGTCTGGCATAGTAGAAAGGCACTTAAAATGTTAGCTATTGTCCTCACCATCCATAGCTGGAAACAGAAGCTACATTTTTTAAAGTTCCTCATATACTCTGTATTCTTGGGCTCCTCTAATTACTTATAACCTCAACAGGAAATAAGAGAGAGTGCTAGATCCTAAATAAATCTGTTTTCTGCTTTTTGACTGATTTCCTTTAGTGGCAAAGTTGTACAAGAGGTATCTTAAAAGGTAAGTGGGGACAAAATCTGAAAGGATCTCCAATTAAAGTGTTGCTCAACCATCAGAGGAAAAGCAGAGTACACTGAGTCATGGACAGCCCAGATATTTACCTGGCTCAGTACAGGACCCACCCATCCTACCTGGATCTTTGCAAAGATGACCTTGTCCCAGAAACTGTCACGTCTGATGATACCCCTTTTCACTTCCTCGAATTTCCTGGCAATAGCCAAGTTCAGGAAGAACTTCTTCAAGGGTGTCTTGGCTTCATTTTGTACCTGCAGGGCGATAGCTCCTCTTAGTTGGAAACCTGTCAAAGATGCTCACCAAGGACATCAGTTAGTGAGCCAGATATGGAGCAGTCTAGCTTCATAAGAAGTGTCCCACACTGATGGGCTGGATTACTGAATAATGATGGACCCAGAGATTAATTATGGCCACACTCAGAATGAAGTGAGCTTAGTACACACGTACAGAACTCCAGCCCCTCCCCACATTCCTGGTTCTTGGCCAACAGCTTTGACAACTGAGATAAGCATGTCCTCAAATGGTGATCAAGAAGGACTACCTACAAAGTCACCTGGGGGTACTAAATTGGAAAAAAAAATCAGCTCAGTAGGTACCATCTCTAGGGCTTTGATTTAGTAGGTCAAAGAAGAGCCTAGGATCTGATTTTTTAAAACAAGGACCACCTCTTCCTCGCTGTCCCCCTATGATCCTTATACAACTAAACTTGGAGAATTACCACCTTTCGCTTTTAGCGATATCATACAAAATCCAACAGACTTTCCTACTTAGATTACTTCTCCCGTTTGGACTTAATTGTAACACCATTTTCTCACTGACTCTGGCCACACTATGATTCTACAATCCATCCACCACCCTCCTGCCAAAGGAGAGTTTTCCCGAGTGAAACTCAAAGAGAACTACCCTCGTAGTTCCAAAATTAAATTCTGAACTCCATATACTAGCTTTCAAGACTCTACCCTTCTGGAAGTCAGATTCTAGGCTATCAAAGTTATTTTCCCTTTCAAAATTTGAAGAATGCTTCTCTGGCCACCTTCCATGTTTATACTGTCATTTCTGGGCTTTGAGCCAACAAGGACTGCTCATCCTTACCTTCTAATATCAATTATGCTGACGATCGAGGCATCCTATTGTGCTGGTAACTATCATTTTACCAATAGCTCACCATCTCTCTCCAAGATCCACACTCAAATGCTTCCTACATTGTGCCACTCCTGATACCTCTCCCAACTATAAGAGATTTACTTTTCTTCAACATTCATAAGACTCACCCAAACAAGTCAATGATAAAGAGCTAGAATTAGAGACTTCTGCTAATAAAGTCCTTTATTTTAAAAATAAGTTCCATAAGTGAACTGTGTATTAAGTATTATAAAATAACTATCTCTCAAAAATGCAAAATGGTCCACTAACATGAACAAAAAATCGTAATAACAACCCAATCTAATAATTCCATAGCATGATGAGGAACTGTTAGAATTGTTAACAATTCTTCTAGAAACCAGGGCTTTTAATGTCCAGGGGTCACCTGTGTTCTAGAACACTACTTGCCCTATCACTGGAGCCCCAGTTTATAATCTGGTGAGAGTTCTAAGTGTGAAAGGCAATGTTAGAATCCCAGGGCTGGGGTCCAAAACATGCAAAGAATGGCCATGCGTTACTTCCAGGGCTGCAAGCCTGTAAAATTATGAGATGTCAGCCTGAGTTCAAATCCCAGATCCAATGGCTTCTGAGGGAAATTAGCCAATCTAAGACTTGGGTGAGAAATATACAAGATGAGGTTGGGACATCTTGTTGTGCCAGAAAGCAAGTAACCTATCAAAGATGACAGGGGTCACATCAAAAGGACGTTTTGAATTCATTAAGAATCAAGAAGAATGATTCAAATTAAACATACAAATATAAAAATTATGAGTTCCTAAAAATGCAAAGAAAAATACCTCATTGGCCGCTTTTGAAGATTGCTGAGGCCCTAATCCATTATTCTGGACATTGATCAATAAAGGGAAAGAATCAAACATTTGTCTTGCCTTTATGGAAGAATCTCAGCTAACGAATGCAAGAGCAATGACAGAATTAGAAAAATCACCATTTTGCAATCCTTAATGAAAAATACAGCAGTGATCAATGACAACTACAACTCCTATGTGAAAGTTTGATTCTGGCCCTACCCCTTATTAGATATGACCCTAGGAAAGTTACTTAACCTCTGAGGCCCAGTTTCCTCCTCATCGTTAGAGATAATAAGCGTGATCTTTCCATGTCTTTGTGAGGATTAAATGAGAGAATGCATCTGAAGTGTGTATCATGGGGCCTGGCACCTCAGCAAGAAGCTCGGTAACCAGGACACATTATGGAAGCAGAATGACAACTTCCTGGTAAGTCAGCTGGACTTTGAGAGGCTCCCCAAGTCTGAGTTCAGGTCCAGGTAATCTTATCCAGAGGAAAAGAGGTTTTATGTATAACGGCTTTTCATGGCTGGACTTGTAAACATGGATTTAAGTAGATACTTGTAGGGGTTTAGGGGTGGATGTGGAGCAAATTTCTTAGTGGTATATAGTCCCTAAGAGCCTTAGTGCAGGGCTAAGTCACAGACAGTCCCTTCCTCTCAGGGCCAGCCTGGTGGAAGCAAGGTTAGTACCTTATCATAGAGCCTGTTAAGGAGTCTCGGCACTGCGGGGAATACCGTGGGCTTCAGAGTCTTCATGTCATCAGGCAGCAACCGAATATCTCCTTGGAAGAACCCAACTCTTGCACCACAACTGTATATAGTAGCCTAAAAACAAAACCAAATAGCAGAGCTCAGAGCCAAAGGACCCCTTTGGGTGGAGGCTGTCTTGGACGGAATTGAGAAAGTGAGTTGAGGTCCAAGGGCACTATTCCCTATACAGCCCCCGCCTCCCAATTCAGGTACCCAGGAATGTGAGAGCCTCCCCTCAAGAAAGGATGGAAATTCATTTCTGTTGGGGTGACAGGACAAATAAGACAGATGATGAGCCTGTGGCCCTCCCAACCCCACAGCTCTGTGTGACAGTCTTCCTTTGTAAGACACCCTCCACCGAGAGCTTCAGCCCCACCCATTTATTAGGAAGCTTCCTTTGTAAGACACCCTCATTCGTTATGTAGCACTAAGAAAAAACACAGCCAATTAAAGTAGGACATGCCTTCGATTGTAAGGCCATCCCAATTTCATCAATGTTAAAAATATTTTTAAAAGGCTTATTAGAATTGATTTTTGGCCGGGTGCGGTGGCTCACGCCTGTAATCCTGGTTCTCTGGGAGGCTGAGGCAGGGGGATCATTTGAGTTCAGGAGTTCGTAACCAACCTGAGCAAGAGTGAGACCCCGTCTCTACTATAAATAGAAAGAAATTCATTGGCCAACTAATATATATAGAAAAAATTAGCTGGGCATGGTGGCGCATGCCTGTAGTCCCAGCTACCTGGGAGGCTAAGGCAGCAGGATTGCTTGAGCCCAAGAGTTTGAGGTTGCTGTGAGCTAGGCTGACGCCATGGCACTCACTCTAGCCTGGGCACCAATGTGAGACTCTGTCTCAAAAAAAAAAAAAATGATTTTTTATTAATCATATATCAACACTTGAGCCCAAGGAACTGAATCTTGCATTTTTTTGACATTTTAGGCATCAACTGTAGGCTGGTTGAAGAGGCATTTGGAGGAAGGGAAGCAGAGAGAGGACTTTCCAGTTTTACTATCTGTGTTTTTGAAAGGCTGATGCTGCTTTCAGTTCTCAGATCAGCCTCAGACTGGCTTGGAAAGCTTGGTGTCCACTCACACAAGGGCAGCCCTCCTCCGGCACACACGCCATGCTGACGGGACCACCTCACACGCTCAGGTGTGGTGCAAAAACACGTGTGGGGGACACATCTCACCTTACTTGGGTGCTTCTTCCCTGACCCTCTGTGGGGAACTTCCTTTTCTCTAACTCTAGGTCTTTTTCAAAAATTCTAACCAAAATAAAATGAAAAAGAAGACACAATGTTGCATGTGCCAGCTTAGAATTAAGGGGCAGATGGATAGAAAGTTCCTGGACGTGATCTCACTGGACCCACACAACCCTGTGAAGGCAGGAGCAAGTATTAGCCCCTTGGACACACACAAACTTAAAGAGGAAGGCTCCACAACAAGTTAGAGGTGAAGTCAGGATTAGGACTCAGATGAGCCAGGTCCCTGCCTGTGCCTCTCATGTTAGAGAAAGGACTGTAAATGTTGTGTAGCAGCCATGGAATAAACACGAGACTAGCAAGTCAAGACTCCCTTTTCACATACCTTCTACAAATGTAGAACACTCACCTGTACAATCCTCTCAAACATGTGAGCCAAGGGGAGGTAGGATATGGTCACATCATTGGGGCTGGGCACAAAATTATGCTATGGATCAGGAAACAAAGAGGAGACAATGTTGGATTAGTGCCAACTTTCTCTTCCAAAGGACATTTAAAAACTACCTTCTCAGGACTGGCACATACAGTTATGCAAGTGGTACACTGTGTAACTCTAAGAGTTGCCTTTAACTGTGTGAGTGTACAGATTTGCAGTGATCCTAAAAGACCAGGCTTGAAAATATACACTCCTCTGGACAAAGACCACATGAGGACTTAAACTTCTCTCCTACCCCATGCCTCTTCTAACTTCAAAAATAAAAATCTTGTGACAGATTCACAGTTTAATGAGATCCTCTTTTTCAATTGACCACTGACCTCCATACATTTGAGAAAACCAGCAACATCTGAAGCAATATTTTCATGGGTTATCATAGCTCCTTTGGGGTCACCTGTAGGAAATAAGAGGTGGAAAGAAAGATCCTTTATGTAGCTAATAGGTAGCCTTTGACCCTGAAAGAAGCAGCTAGATTCAATTGGTCCAGCTCCAGAGAGCCAAGAGCTTTTCCTGTCACTGTTTTTTGGATGGCATATGCCTCTATTTAGGAATAATTAATGCCCCCAGAGAGTCCACTGAATGCATCATTGGCCTTCTACTACCACATGAGACACAGCCATGATCTCAAATAGCAACACAGTGACAAAGAAAAATCCAAGTAACACCCCCCAACACCATGTGCTGTTTATGTGTGGAATTTCAAATCTACAAATATTACCTAGTAATATTGTTATAAACCTTATACACTTGGCATACTGGAGTGAATTTAACTATAGACCATCATGGGCCACATTCAAAACTATTAAGCGTCCTAAGAAATGGGTGGATGTAGGGTGGGGCTGAAGCTCTCGGTGGAGAACTATCATTGAGTTACCTTGACTGAATGAAATTATTCCAGTCGTGTCAAATTGAGAGAGCGGTAGGTTGGGGTGGGGGGGGGAGTTGACTTTTCAATGTCATCTTTAAGAACCCCAACATCCATAGCATGTAAACACCTTCCAGTGTACTCAGCTAAGTTTATTTACTTCTGCTAATGTTATTCTACTTGGGAATCCACACCCAGAAGTCTTAGGCTGTGGGCCCCTCAGATAGGGCTCAGTTGTAGGGTATATTCACCAGCCCACCAGTGGGCAAGGACACCAGCCATGCTCTTGGCTGACCAGGGACAGCTTCGTGGACACTGACCTGTGGTCCCACTGGTGAAGCAGATGATGCTCAGGTCTTCTGGTTTAGGAGGCTGGAGGGGAAACACAAGGGCTTAGTCTATCACCAACTTTGAGGGTTTACTATGGCAAAAGTCAAATTTGGGCGGAAGAAAACTTACCACAGGTTTACTGAAGTTCTCTTTGCCTAGATTCTACACGAACAGAAAACCAAGAAAAAAAGACATTACTTGAGATGGACAGACTATGCACCCCTCTGTTTTGCTTCTCCACGAAAATACCTCTATGGGAATATAATCAAAATTCCAACCTGGAGCAGACCCAGAAAACAATATTCAGGCACAGTGGAAGCCCTAGGGAAGTGCATAAGCTTTCTCTAGCACACCAGCCTAAAGAGGGCAGATCTCAAATATCTGAATTTACCATTATACTCTTAAGGTTCAGTCACCTAGGACCCTAACTAAATCTTTTGTGAATGATATGAATAGTTAACCATTCAGGATTTATCAAACCAGTCACACTCCTGAGCAATTTATATATATTAACTCATTTAACTCTTGTCAACACCTCTGTGAGGTAGGGGCTATTTTTATTCCCATTTTATGGATGGGCAAAGAGAGGTGTGCAGCAACTTGCCCAAGATCATCTAACTATTAGTAATAGATATGGAGCTGGAACATAAACCCAGGCAGCCTGGCTCTAGAATTATTACTAAACTCTGTTTATGCATTCTCTACTTAGAATCTCTATGCAGCCGGCCACATTACTTTGTCCTCCTCCGGCATGGGTTTCTGAGTTGTCCTGAGAAAGTTATTCTTAAGGCTTCACAGCACAGGTCTAATTCATTCCTCCCATGCCACCCCTGGAGAACAATAGCCCTGTGCTCTTGTATAGACGTCCTGCAAGTTGCCCATGGATTTGGATCAGCCTTCAAGCTGCAAGCTGAATTTCAGACCCATACCTCAGCATCAGATAGGGCTAAGATCTCAACTCCAGTCTTCTCCCCTCTTTGCTTCAGGTTGTCATCAAAGGGGTCCATGAGGATGACCATCTTCAGGCCTGGAATGAGGCCCTTCTCTACATTCCCTATCAGGACTGATGCCTTTTGGGGTGTATCACAGATCACTGTGGCGATATCAGCTGAAAGCAGAAATAGAGCCAGAGGTCACCCTCCTACTCTGCTACGCACTCCATTGCCTTGCAAGGAGGAAGAGATTTTTAAAAATTTCAAAGCTGGCAGGTCCCCAAAGGAGATTATGTCTGCAAATCAGATTTATAATGCTCAACCTGAAACATTCCATTGATAATAAATGAGCTTAATTGAAACAAAAGCACATAGTTTTCTTGCATGCTGCTAACACGCTTTATGGTTTATAAAGGAACCATAAAATTTCTTCTGCTTAAGAAAAGTCATCCAGATGATGTGTATAGACGATTGAGGTGTGGTCCTACCAACATGTTTTATTTTGATGAGAGGAGTAGGGCGCATAAGAGAAAGGAGGGAGCAAATGGGATTTTTAGCTGATAAGCATTTTATGATTCTAAATGTGATCCTTTGCTTTGATACTTGTTTGTACAAATAGAAAGCTTCTGATGTTATCTAGTGTTCAAATGGATCTACTGTCTTAATCTACCAGTTTCAAGACAGAAAGTTTCATCTTGGACCTGTGAAAGGACTGTACTTGCCCATTGAAATTGGACTTGTTTCTCTAACAATGACAATTTTTTCTACAGACTCACCATGGGCATTGACACATGCTGGTCAACTGTACTGACTTGGATTTACAAAGGTAGAAAATTAAATCTGTAGCTTCACTGTGATTTAGTCAAGTAAGCTCACTCTATGGTCTTTTATCCAAAGTGTTCAAAGTAAGTAGTCTTGTCTCTAAACTGTATTATTATACTATGTCGCCTGAAAGCATTTCATTGAAGCTTCTATCTGTGTATATCTCTGCATCATGGGCTTCTTGTAACTTCCCTGTAAATTATATCCTAAGTACTACAAGATCAGAAAGACTTAAGTGTTTTTTGGCCATAGCAATTCAAGTCCTCTAAAAGTAAGCAGAGACTGAGGAATTACTCAGCATTAAGAAAGAATCGAGTTCTAATGTACTAGCAATGTTTTACCTTTGTTGATAATATAAATGATGGCTTCTGCTCCCAAGGTGTCATACAGGGGGACGGCTACCATGGAGTATGTATAACAAGCCAACTCAGAGATGATCCACTGTACAGAGAGAAGTTCACGTAAGCATTGGAGAGCACTTTGAAGAGTGTTTGTTCAGTCATTCAGCCAACAGATGCTTATTTGGTAACTTTAACTTTTATATATATAAAAAAAAATCCCTGTGAGGCCAGAGTGAGTGTCACTGATAGGCCCAGAGACAACTCCAAAACAAAGGTAGACCAAAATACAAAGGTAGAAGGTGGTAAGTTTCATTCATATGAGGTATAGAAAGCATTAGGGTGCCTTAGGGAGGCAGAGATCACTTTCAAGGGTGAGGTCAAGGCTATTTGGAACTGCTTTGGGAAAAGTGAAGAAAACTGGGCAGGGCTTTAGAGGACTGGTAAGATTTGGTTGTGGAGACATAGGTAGGTAGGAAAGGGAGTGAATGAAAAAAGATAGGCTAGCATGACATCACCGTGTACATACACATGACGAGGTAGGTCAGAATCTGCCTAAGTCTTTCAAGCAGAAGAATAAGCAGTATGAGATACTGAACTAGCTTTGGCAAATCATTAGCAAGTGCCAGAATGCTGGATTAGGGGTGAGATTTAGAGGTCTTAAAATTAATCCTGATTCATTTCCCTTAGTTAGCTTCAACATAGTTACCTCTGGCCTATTCTGAGCAAAGATTCCAACAAATTGGTCTGGTGATGGCTTATATCCTTTATGTAGGAGACAGGAGCCTAGGTACTCTGCTCGGTCAGACACCTACAAAAGAGAGAGAGAGAGAAAGAGAAAGAGAGAGAGAGAGAGAGAGAGAGAGAGAGAGAGAGAAAGAGAGAAGGAGAGAGGTGTCAAAGCTCAAGTGAGACCAAATTAGCTCAGGATACTGCATTACCAAAAGAATCTTTCTAAAACAACCATGGGCCTGCCTTACCTGTTTATAGGACAGCCATTTGTAGGGCTGGTTTGGTTTTCTGTATCCCAAGCAGGGCCCATTTTCTAAAAACATAACATTAAAAGAAAATCAATTCCAGTTACAAATCCTTTGAGATTTTAGAGAAGGTAAAAAGAGATTAAGAAGAGGCAAAACATAAAAGATAAATCAAACAAGAATTTGAGCTTCTCTTATGTGTCCAAAGTCAGAGGAAATGCAAAGTCAGAAAGGACTAAGTTCTCAAAGTCTTATAAACTATGCTTGAAACGTTTAAGAAATGCTACAAAACAGGGGTGGTTTGGTGTTGGATATGTGACCTCCATGGTCACGTAGGCATTCAGAGAAAGCCATCCATATGGGCTAGCCCACGTAATATGACCAATGCAAATAGCCTGTATTGAATAATCTTGGATTGAGCTTCCCTATAATAGAAATATATGCTCATAAAAATGTAAGAAATCATCAAAATATGAATCATCAATCTCATCACACAAATATCATTAACACTGATATTTCCTTCTATAGTTCCTTTGGTTAGTTTTGTGGAGGTATATCCATTCCACATCTTTGAAATGAATATAATAATTTGGTGTCCCACTTCCTCTCCCAATTTGATATAATTATTTTCATGTTATTATGTCTTCTCTGTAGAGATTTCAATGGCTAATCCATGAAGGGCTGCACTGTAGTTGACTTTATCTCATTGTGGGTATTTAGATTGTTTCCAAGTTTGACACCTTAAATAATGCTATGATAAGTACTTTCAAATTGATAATTTCAAATTTAGAACATTTCTTAGAATAGAGTCCCTAAAATGAAATAAGTGGGTTGAAAGGGGGAAGGAAGGCTCAGAACAGTCGGGCTTTGGATACCTAGCACTACAACGCTTACTAGAGCCGATGTGACAATTCACTTTCCGCCCACCAGCAATTTGCCAAGTTTTATCAGACTCTGATAGACACTACACAGTGTCTCTTACAAATGTCTTCTGTTTCGATAGGTTTGAAAGTTAATAGTTTAGTCTAAGTTTCTTCAACAGCTAGTAAAGTGAGATTTATTCCCTTATTCATTAAGTTTTATTTATTTACTCTAATGAATGAATCATCTGCTCATGTACATTGCCCATTTATATGAGTGTCTTCTAAGATACCAAGGCTCATAAAAAACTACAAGAACATACACATGCACGCACGTACACACATATAAATTTGCCTTTCATATTTTTCCAATTTGTGTCTTACATTTGCAAACAGAAGAATTTAACTGTTGAACATCTAAACTATTCAGCTTTACTTAAAGTTAAAATAAATCTGGGAACATCTATATACTAGAGTAAATAGTCACCTCAGCTCGTAAAACTAAGCCACAGAAGTTGTGGTATCAGGCTGAGGAACAACCCTTAGTGGCTGAGAAGCCCCCACATCTAAGCCAGAATGAGGCTGAGTTGTAAGTAGACAAGCAGAAGGGAAGGAAATTTTACATAGAGGAGCTAGCCAAATTGCTGAGAGGAATTCAGGTCTTGCCAAAAGGAAGTATTCAGAGAGAGGGTTACTAGGAATTCAGAGGCAAATCAGTGAACTTCTAGACTACAGTCTAGAACAAAAAGGAAGGAAAGCAGGAAAGAGATAGCAACTCTGATTAAAGAGATATAAAAAATGAATGGGAAGGCTGTCCACAGGAAACATCAGTGCTTTTCTTCCTGTTGAAACAGCTGCGTGAAAACCCAAGAAGTAAAATCTTCTTTTACTTCTCCTTTGGGTGACTTTCCCCTAAGCATGGGATGACCCACCTTGTCAGATGGTAGGGAGCCAGTGCTGCCCCAGCATACAGGGCCTCGGGTGGTCTACCAAGGACTGAGATCATTGGTACTAACATGAATCGCTAATGATAGTTACCATTTATGGAATGCTTGCTCCATGCCAGGCACATTAACTCGTTCAGTCTTTCCAACTATTATCTTTCCCATTGTGCTAAGAATTATGAAGGCCTGACACAGCTTCTTCAAGCTCACCCAGTAAGTGGTAGAGCTCACAATGTGAAAGAAACTATTCTGCATTTCCTTATCACTTCCTGATTGATGAAAATGCTAGCAGAGGCTGGTGGCCAAGGAACAAGTCAAATAATTAGTCCAAAGGGGCAACAACTCTGATTTCATTAAACTCTGTGCCCTAATCACCTTCAGCCTGTTAGTCAAACTCCTGGCCACGCAACAGCCTAGCCTTTGATTAACTTATTCAACTCAGACCTTGTTAAATTCTAAGGTGTGGCCATTTTCAAAGAGCCCACCCATTAACAACTTTTTGGCAAAGCTGCTACCCTAAGCTAAGTAGAATTCAAACTCTGGTATACAGAATTCTCTAGAAGCTTTGTTAAAAATACAAAGCTTCCTGAGGATTTTTAGTTCTCACCATCTGGAAATTTGATTCAGTGAAACTAAGGTAGAGCCAGAGGATGTATATTTTAAGCAATAGCCCCAACTGATTCTCAACATAGCCAAACTACTGGCTAGGAGTTAAAAGGGTACATTAGTGCTGATATAGTCAACCCCCAATAAAACCAGAAGTGTCATTTTTCTATGGAAGTAGCCACACCAGATTTCTCATGCCTTACATGAGAAGCCATCTTAACCTTATTGCTTTAGTTTTAATTTAGCTTTGAAAAATATCCTAAATGAAGTATCTTATGTGCCACATAGAACATGGTTTGTTTTCATTTGCTATAAGCAAGTTAATTTTGAAAGAAAACCTGTGTGTCCAGTGTTGTCATCAATGATGCAATATACAAATATTAAGGCTGGATCTATTCAGAGGGAACTTATCAAAGCCCATTTGATAGTGTTTGAAGAAAGTCCAAAGTTAATTTCCTTCAGTGATAGTAAGAGTGGCAGCATGGGCCAGTAGTGTGGAATTGGAGTTAAGGACAAGGTAGGAAGTCAGCAGTCCTGACTGCTAATCCTGGCTCAGATTCCCTATCTGTAAATGCATGGAATTGCATTTGTGAAAATCATATTTCCAAACAAATGTGCTGCATTACAGAGTTAGTCAAAATACTGTTTTACACATTATTGTCTCCTTCACTCTTTAAAAACAACGTGGCAGGGAAGTTCTTGACTTAAATGAGAAACAGATTTAGAGAGGCAAAGTGGTTTGCACAGGGTCACACAGGTGGAAATGGAAGAACTGGAATTCACACTTAAGTCTGTCCCACATTGTTTCCAGGACCCATCCTGACACTGTGCTAATGTCTCCTCTACTTTGTATTGATATATTGTGAGTCTACTCAGACCACTGCATCCAAACAGCTGGGGTTTTAGGAGTGAGACAGGGAAGAAGGGGTGTGGAACAAAGTCCACCCCAGTCTTCTTCAGGCAAGGACAGACTGCCAGGCTTACCAGACACCATAAGTCCTCTTTGGAATATTTCATACATCGTCCTGGCATCCGAGTAGTAGTAATGTATGAGGTCATTGTTCTCCTGGCAAGGACCCCTCCGTGCTCCTCCCTAAGATACAAGACCAAGTTTAGGCCAAGTCCAAGTCTTCATACCCTTTCTGATACCTTTATGGATTGGATTGAAGAGAACACAAATACTGATTTTGAGGTTACAGGGATGTTCTTTTTGCCATTCAATCAATTGTTTAAACCTCAAACTTGTAGTATGTTCACATCATAGAAATTTTGAAAAATATAAAAGTATAAAAAAAGATTAAAAAATTGACCCGTAATACCACCACCCAGAGATTGTCATGGTTATGTATTTGATAACCCTCTTGGCATACATATACAGAGGACAGGTTATGTGTATCTTTTTTTTTTTTAAAGACATGGTCTCTGTCACCTGGTCAATGACCCAATCATAGTTCACTGTAACCTCTAATTCCTGGGCTCAAGCAATCTTCCTGCTCAGCCTTCTGAGTAGCTGAGACTATAGGTGCACACCACCACACCCATGTAATTTTTTATTGTTTACTTTTTGTAGAGACAGAGTCTTGCTATGTTGCCCAAGCTGGTCTCAAACTACTGCCTCAAGCAATCCTCTCGCATAGGCCTTGCAAAGTACTAGAATTACAGGCATGAGCCACTGCACCTGGACTATATGTATAGTTTTACATCTTTTTTTTATTATATCAAGTTTAAACTTCTATTGAATGCAAACTATTTGTTCTGTGTACTGTGTAAATACTGTAGATGTGAATTAAGACAAAATAGCTGCCCTTGAGCACCTCATTAACTAGGATTTTTGGAGTATAGGTGAATAATGAGGGAAAAAATACAAATATAATACTGTGCTATACATGCTGTAATAAAAATAAATACAGGATTTGGGAAACAAATGAAGCAATCATTTCTGTATTAAGCAGAATGGTTACAGGGAAGAAAATATATTTTAATAGAGACTTTGAAGATAATTAGGCATTTACCAAAAAGATGTGGTTTGGGTAGGGTAGAGAAGGAAAAAAAGGAATAATAATCTAGAGTGAAGGAATAGTGTAAAGGAAGGTATGGAGGCAAAATAACACAGTGCAGGGCCTGGTGGATAGCTAGAAAACAGGGTATTTGAGAAAGAAGGAATAGCTAGGGATTTATCTAGAAATGTCAAATGGAACTAAAGGATCAGGCCCCAGGATGGATCCTGGAGCTACACGAGCAGCTACTGGCCTGGTCCAGCCCTCATGAAAGTTGGTCTAGAGAGGAATGGGCACCAACTGAATAAGCATTCAAAAATGTAAATTACTAGCCAAGATAAGGGCTATGAAAGTATAGAGTAACACATGAGGCTATAACGAGGGATCTGACATCAGGAAAGATTTCCATGAGATGTCACAGTAAGACAAAATATCAAAAATAAAGTTCCTTATCTAGCGAAGGAAGATAGGGTCTTGCTGTTTGTGTACATGCGTGGGGTGAGGAAGAAGGAAGAATCAAGGATGATTTATATTTTTAACTTTAGGCAACAGGATAAGAAGAAATAACATGTAACAGAACAGAAAAGCGTGTGTGTGTGTTTGTGTGTGTGTGTAGGTGTGTGTGAAGGGAGAATATGTGCAATATAGAGATTTGCAGAGCTTGAGTATCACTGAGGTCAGAACTAGAAAGTCATATTTGAGTGTTTCAGCCTTTAGATACATTTTAAAGTTGTGAAAGTCTCAGCTGTGAGAATTTAGAGCAGGGATTGGCAGACTATAACCTGTAGGCTGAATCTGGCCCACCACTTGCTTTTATAAATAAAGTTTTATTGGAACACAGTCATGTTTATTTGTTTATAGATTGTCTGGTACTGTGCTTTCACTCTACAACAGTGGTGTAGAGTAGTTGCAACAGATCCCATAGGGTCCTCAAAACCAAAACTATTTACTGCCTGGCCTTTGCAGAACGTGTTTGCCAACCCCTGCTTTAAAGAAATCAAGACATACTAAGAATGAAACCTTAGGATGAGGAGAGGAAAGAATCTAAGTGGCAAAGGAAGATTGTTTAAAATTAGGAAGAAAACTCATTGAACACTATCATGAAAGGCAAAGGAGGAGTTTCGAGAAAGAAGTCTCAAGTCAATTGAGAAGAGGGCTTAAGGAAAAGTTTTTGAATTTAGAAATTAGGTTGATTCAGAGTGCTTTGGAGGATTTGGTCATGGTGAAAGGTCGGATCTCAGTGGGTTGAAGTTCAGAAAGAGGAAATCAACAGATGACTCTTAAAGAACTCTGGTGGGAAAGGGAAGGATTGAGAGGAGATTGAATACAATATAGCAGTGTAGGAAGGTGCCAATGAAAATTGAACATACAGGTATACCCAAAAGGGGAAGGATGGAGAGGGGAGGTAACTTGGAGTAAGATTTCCAAGTAGATATAAGAAGATTATAAAAAGAACAGAAGCTTTGTGAAGGAACAGGAATGCTTTTTTTCTCTGAAGAAGGCTAAAGATCAAAATGGAAGAGATTCATGGAGGCAGAGGAAAGAAATAGGAAGAGAACATTCTTAGAGCTTTCTGTTTGCTCATAGATACAAGAAGCTGGGTAATTTACTGAAAGCCAGGGGAATAAGCCCAGTTCAACTTCTGGTTTTAAGAAGACTAAATTTAACTCAAAGCTAGACTTTAACTCAGGGTAATGACTTCTTTACCATTCTCAGACATTGGGTATCTCAATGAAAATACTCCCTTTTCCCCCAAAGTACTGTCTCCATCATCTAGATCGTGGGTAGGCAAACTTTTTCTGTGAACGCTAGATAGTAAATACTTTAGGGTTTGTGGAACACAGATCATATTTCTTTTTTTTTTTTCTTTTCTACTCGCCCTTTTAAAACAGTAAAAACTATTCTCAGCTTGCTAGCTGCACAAAAAAGGTGGCTAACATATGGTGCCAGCAGTCTATATGAGGACTGGCAAACTACATATGACCTTTATTATTACAAATGAAAATGTGCCAGTAATAGAAGTTTAAATTTGTACATAGTCTGTCAATCTGTAACCTAAAAGGCTTACTTTTCCACCCTACACTCATTCGGCTTCAAGATTTATCTCCAGGTGTGGAATTACAGTTCAAGTCCCAACAAGGTTGACAAAGTAAAGATGGCTGGTACGTCACCTCAATTCCCACAGACTGATTGTCCAGGTCAGTGATAAGTAAGACTGGTGGAGGTCTGTTGATCAGCCACAGGAAGATGGCAGCTCCGAATGTCAGGATGCAGATCAATGCCGGGGTTGGAAGTGGGGAAAACAAAAAATTAAAGATAAAGAGCATCTTTGTGAATAGCAGCAGGGAATTCAGACCTTAAAAAAAAGGGGGGAGGAAAGAAAAATTTAGAGGAAATGGCCATATTTTTTTACTCAAGGGTTCTATGTTTACAAAAGGACACACACACATACACTCACACACACACACACACACACACACACACACACACACACACACACATACACACACCTCCAAACCCTCCAAATAGAGTTGGACTTCGCTGGCAGCAAAATTTACCCCACTGTTTATCTTAGCAATGTTGAAAATAATAGAACGTGTTCTCTTGCCCTGCTACTTGAATGTCCTCGCAGAAAGCAGAAAGGATCAAAGGAAACAAATTAATCATTTCCCAGACCATTTTTGAGAAACGACTGGTCTTTTGTTTTGGGCACATAAAGCCCAAAAGGTGGCCTGCTGGGCCCAATATAAGCTGGCGGTCAGAGGAGGGTGCACCAGACAGCTGCTTCTGCCCACGCGGACTGAGGGGCCTAGAAGGACTTTTCTAGCTGCATTTCCCTCATATAAACTAAACAGAAGAGGAGACCTCAGTAGAGGTGACACCATAGGTTTTAGGAATTAATCATTTTGCATGAAGTGCAAATGAAGGACATTTTCTGCTGGCCAAATATGCCTTACTGCTTTCTTTTCTGGAGCATCAGAAGGGGTCTCAGAAATCAACAGTGTTACAACTCACTGTGCCCAATATCCCCTCCTCCAGGGAGCCCAGAGGAATCATTTTTCCATGAGGCAAACATTAGTCAGGCACACAGTAAGGGCGCCGGAGCATGGACCCGACACACGGTGTGCATTGAAGAGTTAGGCCAAGAAGAGATCTCAAGAAACTAAAAGCAACAAAGGCTTTCCCCCAACCCAGTTTTTCTTATAGCTTTCAACCAAGTTCAGTTTCAAAGTACTCTAATAAGAGGAACTAACTTTGGGGTAAGTCCTAGGAACATACCCTTATTGAAGCTATCTTTTCCCGTGAAGCTGTTGCTTCATAGCTTTCAGTCTTGTTTAGGCTAATAATAGCAAACACGGGAGCACTTACTGTATGCCAGGCGCTGGGCTGGGATGTTTACATGGTTCATTTAACTTAATTCAAGAAACGCCATAAAGTAGAATTTCACAGAAGAGGAAAGGGACCATTCCAGGGACCATTCCATTGTCCAAGTTCGCACACCATTCCCCACTGCTGCTTCTCTGTTAAAATCTACAGAATCACAACCCACTTTTTCTTACAGACTCTAGTCACAGAGTTAAAGGAGACTGAATTTGTCTGGCACCTTACCGGTGACAGCAAATGAAGTTCCGAATTTGCATTCTTCAAAGTTTACTGCAACGCCTGATGGAACAGTATCTCAGAGACGAAGCCAAATATTCCCACTCAAAATCAAAAGAACAAAGCAAGCCCAGTAAAAAGTTTTATCAGATCAAGATCACAGTTGCCCTTAGAGCTTTAGGGCAACTGCCATTAGCTAGCATCTGGAACTTTCTCCATGATGGGAAACATTTCACTCTAATCTAAGGCTTTAAGGGCGTAGGAATTTGCATGGGGGCAGAACAGTCACAAGAAACCCTGAGTCAATCATTATTTTTCTGCCCCTTACTTGGTTATTCCCTGACTTTGGAGTAGCCACTTTCCGTTTTATGGAAGAAAACTAAACTTCCAGAGACTGGGATAATAGTCCTTAGCTCCTTGCTTATTCCCTGACTTTAGAATAGCCCCTTTCCATTTTATGGAAGAAAACTAAACTTCCAGAGACTGGGATAATAGTCCCCAGCTCCTTGTTTCTTTCCATATTGCATTTAGGGGGAGGGAAAGAAGACAAAACAAAAACAAGGTCCCACAGGTGCTAGGTTACATAACAACAAGGGTGCTATTGTGACCACCCCACAGGGTTCTGAGAGCTGGGATTTTCGGAATTCAGCCTTCCCTGGACTTGTAAGGTGAAGTGGCACTCCAGGATGCAAAAGCATTCAAGGGCCAGCCATATAGCCCTGGCAGAGAAGGGGGACCGGGCCAGGGAAACTGTGAAATTGACAGAGGGGGTTGCAGTGCCAGGGAAGAGAAGCCCTCTTTGTGCCCTCCCACCAGTCCCTCCCATAAGGCCAGGACACTGCAGCCAGTCTGGTTAGCATTTTATCTGGGCTTCTTCCCTTTACCCTAATCTGGCAAATTAAGAGATACTTACTGGCAGCTTCTTTCTCCACTAAGGGAACAAACTGTTACACTGAGGCCTTTTGCCCTCTTCTTCCCTATGGCAGATTTACATTTTAATAGAAGATTTTGCAAACAAGGTCTTCGAAATAGGATCTAAAGGTGAAATTCCTGTTCAGTTGTGGGGAGGAGCGAGGGCAAATAGCCTGGCAGGTAACAGGGGAGAAGTGGCACAGAGAACCCATGACCAATGTCAGTGGGCAGCTGCTGTCAATCCCAGCTGATTGTTACCACATAATAATGTGAGCCCAGGGTCACCAGCTTGTCAGATTTTCCTCTCTACATAACCCAGAAGAGACTCAAGTTTTGTGAGTTTCAATTTTAACTAATTTAACTAATTTTAAAGTTTTCAATTTTAACTAATGGCAAGTTGTAAGAGTCTGGTATGGGACAAATAAGAACGCATCTTAATTTGGACCATCGGGCGCTAATTCTTGACTACTCCTTTTTTAGATAGACTTCAGTCATATTGCCCCCAAATAGGATGAGACTGACCACCTCATCACAAATGAGGGAGATATTTACAGGTTTCAAGACCGCAGTCTCATGAGAATGAAAGAACCTTGCCTATACTGGCAACGTTTTGTCTTATTTGCAGACGACATGAAAGGATGTATTTGTCCGCTGAAATAGCTTGCTCACTTAGTTTGCTATCACTGAGCAGATATCCAGCTCAAGTAGGAGATGCACAGAATGTCAAATGGTTCCTCCCTGGTGTCCCCACATTTTTTAAAAATTGAGATAAAGTTTATGTAACACAGAATTAGCCATCTTAACATGTACAGTTTGGCAGTGTTTAGTACCTTCACAATGTTGTGCAACCATTACCTCTAGTTAGTTCCAAAACATTTTCATGGCCATGAATTGGAAACCCTGTACCTATCAGCGGTCATTTTCCATTCCCTCCTCCTCTGGGCTCCCAAAGAAAGCACTAGTCTGCTATCCCATGGATCTATCCTATTCTGTGGATATAGCTATTCTAAATATTTCATATAAATGGAATCATATAAGGTGTGACTTTTTGTGTCTGACTTCTTTTACTCAGTATCATGTTTTTAAGGTTCATTTATGTTAGTACTTCATTCCTTTTTATGGCTGAATACTATTCCATTGTGTAGACAGACCATAAAACCACAATTGTATAGATTGTCCATCCATTAGTTGATGGATATTTGGGTTGTTTCCACTTTTGGCTATCCAAACAGTAGTGCTGTTATGAACATTTGTATACTAGTTTTTGTTGTTGTTTGAGACAGAGTCTCACTTTGTTGCCCCAGGCTAGAATGCCATGGTGTCAGCCTAGCTCACAGCAACCTCAAACTCCTGGGGCCAAGTGATCCTCCTGCCTTAGCCCACCCAAGTAGCTAGAACTACATGCACACGGCACCACACCCGGCTAGCTTTTTCTATTTTTAGTGGAGACAGGGTCTCACTTTTGCTCAGGCTGGTCTTGAACTCCTGAGCTCAAACAATCCTCCTGCCTCAGCCTCCCATAGTGCTAGGATTATAGACGTGAGCCACTGAGCCTGGCCTATATACTAGTTTTTGTTTGAATACCTTTATCCAATTCTTTGGGGTGTATAACTAGGAGAGGAATTGCTGGGTCATATGGTAATTTTATATTTAACTTTCTGAGGAACCACCAAATTATTTTCCACAGTGGCTGCACCATTTCACATTCTAACCAGCAATGTAAGTGGGCTCCAATTTCTCCACATCTTCACCAACACTACTATTTCTGTTTTGCCTTTTTGGTGGTGCTGTTTAAATAGCCATCCTAATGTGTATGAAATGGTACCTCATTGAAGAAATGTCTACTCAAGTCCTTAGCCCATTTTTAAATTAAGTTGTTTGTCTTTTTGTTGTTGAGTTATAAGAGCTCTTTATATATTCTGGATATTAGATCCTCATCGGTGATATGATTTGCAATATTTTCTTCCATCCTGTAGATTGTCTTTTTACTATCTTGATAGTCTCCTTTTTAATGCACAATACACTCACACATTTTTAACTTTATAATATTAGCACTAGAGAGGGTTTGCAACCATATCATCTAACTCTCTCACTTTTTAAATGGGAAAAACTAAGGGCCTGAGAGAAGGTGAGACCCCTGGGTCACACTCTTGCTGGACTCTGAAGCTCTGGTTCCCACTCCAACCTTTAGAATCTCTTAGCACTTCCCAATGTGCTCAAATAAATGAGGGGGAAAAGGCCACCACCCTTCTTGTCATGTGTCCTATATGACTCAGATTACAATTCTAGTTCAGTTGCCACATAGAACACCTGCAAGCAATTGGTGTGATGGCATTTTCTCTTCTCTTTAACATCACTCCTAGTTGGGAAAGAATGGGTTAGGGAGAAGTGCTAAAGAAAAGAGGAAAGAGAGTTCTGTTGTACTGTGTCTGGGAGTTCCTGTTTCAGGTCCTCTACAAATGGCTGGGCAAGCCACAATACGCATTAGGATGCCCGTGCCAAAAACCTTACTCCAGTTTTTGACGTGGTGAGGGTGACACGTCTTGGCCACAGACCCTGGGAGGCCAGTTTGTCCTTCCTTTGAATTTCTCCAGACCCCCTACCTCAGGGGTCCTCAAACTTTTTAAACAGAGGGCCAGTTCACTGTCCCTCAGACCATTGGAGAGTGCGCACTGTGGGCCCGGGACCAGTAGGCTGCTAAGCAGGACAGGAAGCGGCGGCAAAAATACCTGGAGGTCCGGATAAATGTGCTAGGTGCCCGCATGTGGCCTGCGGGCCGTAGTTTGAGGACACCTGCCCTACCTTGTGGTGTGAATGACTGTAGCCAAAGCCACTCACCTCCTAGCTCCTAACGTGTTTCATTCCCAAGCTAGCTGAAGCACCTTCTGCCTTCATACCTTTATGCAAGTTTCCTGGACCAGTCTTGGTGTCTAGGATATGACCACCCCATACTCAGCTTTGAATTTTGCTCCTTTGTGGATGTGGGGCAGCATTTCTTCATTTCTTCTCACTTTCTTTGGATAAAGTCTCTAAAATAGCCCCTTCTACTCTACCATTTGGATTTTTGGTCAACTGTGTTTATTGCTATGAATCTGTCAGGCTATCCCTATATAGTCTAAAAATCTTTTTTTTTTTTTTTTGGATAGTCCTTGTTTTTTAAAAGATTGTATTTTTCCTACATGTACTTCGCTCAGAGCCTCATCTTTAAGTCTGTTCTGTTCCCAGCCCAGATTCTCTGTGCGTGCTCTTCCCTGTGCCTTGAGCACTTCCCCAGATCTGAAATGGTTGTGTGTTGCTTATATTAATAGATCAGGCCTCACCTCAAATGTCACTTCCTCAGAAGCCTGCTCTCTGACCACCCTCTTTAATGTGGCCTTTTCCTCCCCAGTCAGTGTCACGGGCCTTGCTTTCTCTTCGCCACGACGCTGTTCACCACGTGAAACAGTCCCAGCGCCTTTTTCTCCATTGCCCCCACTGAGTGATATTCTATTAATAATCGGGACAGGGAATTTTGTTTTGTTTACTGCTGAGACTACACCGTGCCTGGCACATAGGAAGCTTTCAAAGAGTGGTTGTTGGATAAATGAACAGTTTTCTACTTCAAAATTTTCTTTTGTAAAAACACATTTTAGAACAGTTAACTCATTTTTCTCCAAAGTAAAACAACCTTCACCCTCAGACTCCCAAATCCTAGATCATCAGAAATCACTCTGGCCAATCTTCAGATGGTTACTCCCAAATTAATACTTGGGAAAGGTGTTGGATTAGGAATGGTGGATGGTGAAAAGGGTGTATTTCTAACACACATCAAGGACCCTTCAGCATACGGCTACTCCTCCAGACTTGGAGGAATCAGAATAAAGTCATTTACGTTGGTTAAAATCCAGCCAAGAAATAAATCATTCTGTCCCTGGGTTTCTGGAATTCTAAGGACAATAAGGCAAATTATCTTTGCTTATAGACCTGGAGGATTAATTATTTTCTGTGCAATAATGAGATAGAAATTGCAATGATAAACTTTTTTTTTTTTTTAAATCTGCCTTCTAGAAAGTGGTACATGTTCATTTGGATTTAATTGGTTTCTCTGTTCTCTTGCATGTATGGGCTTATCCTATGGTGATAGAAAGCTCATTAAAAGGGAGACCAGAGTCCCCAAGTGCTCACACCCAATTAGTCAACACATTCTTCCATGCTAGCAATGATTTACTCTCTCCTAGAGACTATGTGCAAAAGCCCTTCCAACTCATGACCTAAGGCGCCTGCGTGTTATTTAGGAATGTGAAAGTTTTGCTCTCTGGGCTGAGCTTTCAGTTTCTAACCCACCCTCCTTCCTCTGTTATTGTCTCTAAATTCCTGCCACCCTCAAGTTAGGAGTCTTCTCAGTCCTTCACCACATAGTCAACATTTTTAGACAGACCCTGACGTCATGGCAAAAGG